GGAGACTACGTTTTTTTCCTATTTTTTTTTTAACTTAACTTTATTGCTATTAGATAGAGGGCTAAGAAACCCCTATATGTGATAGCAAAAGTGACAGGTCCTCTTTATGGAGACATCAGGGGTCTCCAAGACTTCATCAGCTTCTCTCCAGCGTCTGAAGCTGGAGAGTGACACAAGAATGCGGAAGTGATGTAATATACATCACTTCCTCATTCTGACACCGGAGAGGGGACCGGAGGGAGATCGTGTACGGACCTCCCTCTGATCCCCTGTCAGAGAGGCACTCGCACCAGGCACAGCGGAGCCCGGGACAAGCGTGACAACGGGAGGGGGGCCCCAGAGGGAGGGGTGGGCACGGGCCGGCAGCTTATACAAGCGATCCACCAGCTCTATAGCCGGCGGATCGCTTGTATGTTAACGGGCATCGCTGGCTGATTTTAAATGTTGTGTCTTTCCCCGCTGGCGCACGCCGCACGGCGTGCCCGAGTGGGCAGGGCTAACAGGCCGTATATACAAGGCCTGTTACATCCAGGAAGCTCCCGGCCGGCCGTTTGTGTACAACGGCAGGCAAGCAGTTAAACTGTATTTCCACTTTTGCAGCCAAATTGAGAAACATCTACTTTATATTTGTTACACGTTCCCAATCACATAGCATAAATAAAATAAAAAAATATTAACCTTACCTTTCTTTAAATGTTTTTTTGTGTTAACTCCAGGACTGAAAAAGTCTGTTTAGTTCTCACTTTCTGGGGGTAGGGGGCATTTTCTTTCAAATAATGAACCCTTTCTTTACTGGGTTGGCAGATTTCATTATCATTTGTAAACTAGTTGAGCATGAGTGTCTGTCCTAGCAAAGGGTTAAAGTCTTGAAGACCTTGTATGTCAAAAAGGAGATGGTCAGTCTGTCATAAGTCTTTCTATTAGGACAGGGTTTCCTGTTACTGAAGAGAGAAGCTTGCAAAAGCCTGCTAAATAGAGATATCTAAAAGGTAAGAAATTATTTGTTTTTGTTTAATATTTTTCGGTGTGCTGTATGAACAGGAACATATAACAATCATATAGTGGCGGTTTTCTCTATTTTGACTGCTGAAGTGGAAATACACTTTAAGCATCTACATTCCTTTTCTTGAGTTTCTGAAAAATAAATGAGTGCTTGGCCCTGCTGTTGTTTGGCCGCTGTTATTATATATTTAAACAAAATTTCTGGAAAATACTGTTCACTACATTACTCTGGATTGACTACAGACAGCAGTTAACTGTTATAAACATTTTTAAAGTCTAAGGTATCCAACAAACAGGACATTTGGTGCTCATTAAGTGGCTTAATATGTAAAACACATCTGTGAGCAGCAAGACACAGAAAGTGTTCAGAGTTCCCGACTAGAGATACAAACTCAACCCCTGGCTAAAAACCAGGAGGAAAGATATTTCCTCGACTACAATGAAGTGCAGCTGACTGAAAAGAGATACATACATTACTGCAAATGAACAGTGCAAAGGGATAAACAGGACTTACAGAACACTGCAGTTAAGGTACTGTGTCTTATGTATTATCAAATCCATCTGTATTTATAAGTTAGCTATTGAAATGGGCAGAGTTTGAAGATCACACTTATCTGTAAAAATCAGTATAACATAAAGCAGGCAAAAGATACAAACTGCTATTTCTTAAAGGATAGAAAGTGAACACAAGCCTGATTGGAGGCAGCTGACAACAGTGCTAAATAGCACTTTTCTTTTTCTAGAATGAAGTCCTTGGGACACTGTACAGAGGTCATACTTGTACATTGGACAAGCTATTACTCACCTGAAAAGGTCTCCAAACTTACTTCTTATATGGCTACACGACATGTACAAATCATACAGATAAGCCAAAATACATCTTTCTGGAGAGGAGCATTCTGAAGGATTGACTACATGCTTTACTACACCACACAATCTGAAATCAGAACATATTTTCATTATATTAGGTTTTAGAACTAACACATATAACAAAATACATTTTAACAGCGTCCTGGACATTGGTGGTTCAATTGTACATGTAACTACTGTTGCATCCCCTCCCCTGTTAAGACCTTATAGGCTCTAGTGCGGGAACTTACTAGTAAATAATAAACAGGACAGTTACATGCCAGCAGTGTCTAATAGTTTTTTTGGAACATATGAACAGTCTTTGACATTTTGTGTTACAGATCATTTATTCAAATGTGCCATAATATCATTAAACACATTGAAAAACTATCAGGGCCCTGCAATGTATGTACTTGTATCGCCATTCAACTGTACAACCGAAAATTGAATGTCTCTTTGGGCCATCACAAAACCTTTATCAGGCAGAACAAGCACTTGTTTTGCCTGATGAAGGGGTTCCTGCAAGACACCAAAACGTTGCACTGAGTGTAAAATTGCTGCATCTACGTCAATAAATAGACGTAATTAACTTGCATTTGGAGTGCTGTTGTCCATATTCCTATTCATGAATAGAGACGGCTGCCATCTGTCGACCACCGTTGCACCCACCTAAGCCTGCATGGAAAAGTGGTCAGGAGTGCGATGGGTACATGGACTGTGATATAAATAAAGTTTACAAACTATTCATATCTGGGCATTATAACTGAAATTTGGACTTGGTTTTAATACATATAATGGATTTCTTATGAGCCTGTTCATGTATGTGTGCTTTAATACAGGCTGCTTGCTAGGCACCTAAAAAACACAACTATAAGCAGGTGTAAATGTGCTTCATGTATGTTTTTGTTCCTTACTGAAGGAACTGTAAAAAAAAACCTATGGTAAAAAGAAAAAGAAATAAACAATCAAATAAAGATAACAAGCAAAGTACAAACCCTTCAAAAACTTGCGCTGTTTGATCATAATTTAAAATTAGGCAAGCGTGGTAACGTCTTAGCACTGCCACAATGTACAGACATAGGCGTGTTGTGTAACTTCCTGCAAGGTTTGATGATTTCAACAGCAATTCTGCTTCCACCACGCTCAGTTCATTTAGCAGCTGAAAAACAAGTGACAATTTGGTTTTAGATTGGCCTGAGAACATGAACAATACATGGGCAGTATTATGTAACTGCAAATATGCTGTGTGCAGTCAATTTCTTTGAGTTTAGATGTGTAAATACAGAAGTGTGACTTTCAGCCCATATGCAAGCCTTCTTCACAACATCAGTGCACAGGGGGGGTACAGGGTAACTTTGTATGCAGCATCAAGTGTGGTCAGCCTGTTGTGTGCCATATTTATGTTAAGCAAATACTTCATTAAGGTTCTTCTTTGTATTGAGTTGTAGTTCATCCTGTGCTAAGTGGACTCAGCGTAAAGCTGGCTATATACCTTACAATTTTTGCTCTGGAATGTTCATTGCTGCCAAGAACCCTCTCTCGATTTTAGCTCAAATAGCCTATCATGCACAGACCAATGTCGATTTCAATTATCGTTCATTAGCAATACTAACTCAACTAATGTTGTCGATCCATAGAACTTATTTTAGTTTGTGCATGTGCAGTGTTCTTGTTGTGATTTTTTCATTCGAAAATACCAATAATCTATCGATTTTCGTTCAGTTCGAGAAAATGTTTTCCAGCCTGACCGATTGAGGAAATTTGGCCAGTTGTACAGTAATTGTGATCATTCAATTCCCATCAACTGGACGATCGAGTTAGTTTTTCGAACAATAATCGTAAGGTGTATGGGCACCTTTAGAAAGTACAAGCACAAGGTAGCAAATAACTTGCTTTGTTTTTAAGTTTAGAGTTTTTACTGATTTTCATATCCTCCAAAATAGCATGAAAGCCTTCAAAGACATTGGTTTACATCAGTATCTAAACAACACAAGCAGACAAATTAATTACCTCTGCTATAACCCTTTCAATGCATATAGCTGACCTGTTGACCTGGAATGGTCAATTGTACACCTTAGAAGGCTTTTAGCAAAACAAAAGTGTTACTATAGATTACAAATATTATTACACTAGAGCTCTGTTAGCACATTATACAAGCTAAAAATATTATTACCCTAAATATGTGTTAGTGCATTATATAAATATATAATGCCAGGTGTATTGTTATTGCATGTGATTGGCATGTTTTGTTTACTTAAGCGGATACAAGTATACTGAAAGTGACTGTAAATTATAATTTTAAAGCCCATTTGAAGTTTCCATTGACATTAGCTAAATACATTCCATGAGCATCAAAACAAAAGATGTGCAAAGTGTTACTGTTTTTTTAATTATTTTTAAAGCAGTCACAGTCTGAGTAGAAAAGCCCGTCAACTGTAAGCATGCTACAGAGAAGAGCTTGTGTTCTGTGCATGGAAACAGTAGTCTTTCTGCAAAGGTCCATAGTGCTCTTTAGTCAAGAAAACATACTTTTGCTGATTGAAGAATTATAGCACTGATTCAGCAGTAGTGATGAGTGAATCTGGCTGTGTTCAATTCTCAGGTGCGATCGGTGAAAAAATGTTTTTGGCGCTGAAAAATTCACAAGCAGTCAAACTGAATTCAAGGTGGATTTACAAAACCAATTCCATTTTCAAGGCCGATAGGCAAGGATTTGTCAAATAAAGGGCATGGGGAACTGGGCAATCCAGAAATGACATGCACCGATTGCCCCAAACATGTTAAGAAAATACAGTTCCGTAGAAAGAGGGTCCTCCATTTTATGTGACTTTAAGGACAACATAGGAAAACAAATTCTTCAACTTACATGCTTCAGACATGCCTCTAAGCTATATCTAGTGTTATAGAACAGTGGGATTCTCTGAGACAACATCAGCTACACAGTATTACGCCATCACATAATTTTAATGTGTAAGACTTTTTAATTTTACACTATATCTTGGCTTACATAAAGCAGCAACACTTCTTTCTGACTTCAGGCTTTTTTAGGTAGTTTTTTGCTGCCACATGATTTGTTATCTAATGGTAATATGCCAGGATTGGTTAAAGTAGTAGATAGAAAGGATACAAAAGCTATATGAAGGTTTACACTTAAAAATAAAAAAAGAACAATTCCAAAATTTCATAACAACTGGCAAACAGTGGCAACACATATTTCATAGCAGGGCTATAATATTCCTTTGTTGCAGTAGCTTACTGTTTTGACTACAAAGTTAATCAAATGTCAACACAGAGTGCCCAAAAACCAAAATTCTACATTACAGAGACAAGGCAGTTGTTATGAAGAAATTTTAATTACAGAGCCATATTTCAGAGATAATAGTCAAACATATGGCACAGCAGAGTATGTAGGCAACTTGACTGGACAGCAATGTAAGAGGGAAAGACTAGGCTTGGTTATCCACTCCACAACCTCCTCTGGGAACTCAAGATAAACTCAAAAACACGGCCACTGTCAGAAAAGAAAGGCAGATGTGCTCTGTCTCTCAAAGGTGTGGTCTGACCACCGTTTTGGCCTGATGATGCACAACCTGCTCGCTTCCTACTACCTGCACATGAAGAACATTTGCCTCTCCCTTGCCTACAACAAAAGTTGATGCAGTCATTAAAAAGACTGTTGGGTCTATTCACTGTGAATTCTATGATACGATGGGTGGTAAACACAGCAATACAATTCACAGTGATTAAACATGGACAGTACAGTCAAAACAAGGAGGGTACACTCCACTCACTTTAGCTCCCCACACTGCAATTCACTGTAATGTAGCCGTGGCAATATATAGCAATGAATATAGCACTGCATAGCTTTTAACATAGTACACAAGCACTGTAGAGTAGCAATTACACATCTGTCTCTCCCTTACAAAGTTGTTAGCTGTCCCTCACTAATCCAGCTCCAACACATACTGTTGTTCGGGAGGGGGATGGGGGGTTTTATAAAGCCCCAATACTGGCCAAAATTTTCCATCTGATCACAGTTCACAGGTCAGGCAAAGCATTATGGGGTTTGCGTTTGGTAACCCATAAGTTTGCCGTTCATATAAACAGTGAACATTCAAAATATACCTTGCATCTGTAATGTATTTAGCTGCTTTAATCTGGGCTTGAATTAGGAACTGGGTCCTAAAATGAAATGTACTGAAATTAGGCAAGATTGCGAATTGGACTGTTACATGTGTTAAACTTCCTCAAAGCAATTATTTTTGGACTCAAACCTTTTCCATTTAAAAGGAAATCTATTTCTAGTGAAAAGCAATGTATGTCAGCTCTTTTTGCACATGTCAGAGTGAGTCACTGATACATATTTGAAGATAGCCACACTAGTACTGAGGGGAGAAGACTCGTGTGTAGGTACGGCGTAACAAGTTTTCTGCTCTCTGTTCTCACCTCTTCTAGGCTGGAAGGTTGACACAGTACATTATACTGTGTGACAACCCCTATTAAATAACACTGCCTTGTGTCCAGACAAGTGAAAGGGATACAAGAGTAAGTGACAATTGTAGTTTTACAGTCACTGAACATTTTGACAACTTATCATATCATTATATTGTAAAGTATGGGGTACATTATAACGTGTTTAGTTTGTAATTATCTATATACATGGGGGCAGTCCTATGTGCTTATGACAAATAGCATATGCTTTCTTTGTGCTTTGCTGATCCTCTTCTCTCACTACAGGTGTACCAGAGGAGGTGCGTCTGACTAAAAGCAACAGATTCTAAATCAGAGACCATGTGATGTAGGTTCCCCGTGGGCTGAACAAAAAAAAAAAAGGTCCCTTGATTCCCCCATCTATGCTGTATAGTGTGGATGGGGGAACCCCGCATGCTATGCTATTGCATTCTGATAGCAGCAGATGTACTGCTGTCAAAATACCCAAACAGTGACTGATTGGCTGCAGACAGACCAATAATTTTCAGCCCGGCTCCTTCTGAGAATCCAGCTTGAATGGACAAATAATGAGCCCTAACATACAAAAAAATTACGTGTGCATTATAATATATTATACATATATACATATATATTACAATCTTAAATCTCCAGACAACAGGTGAAACCAATCAGTGAGCTGCATATTCATTAACACCCGAATAACATGTTTAAGACTGAATGAAACTGCATGTATGCAATGGCCAGTCTGTTGTTCTAATGGGACCTGTATGAAGCTGGCCTTACAATAGTAGATTTCCAAATGAACTTTTGCATAAAAGCTCTTTCTTTGCCACCCGATAATGCCATCAGACACTTGACGAATGTCGAATGAAATTTCGATTGATTTTAACATTTAATTTTGAAGGAAAACTACATTCACGGTTAGAATTGTGTTCAATTGATAACAATTCTCCATCAAGCTCCTTCAACTTTTTTCGTCACTATGGTCGAAATCGATCATCAATATGACACCATTATAGAAAGTTGAACAAAAGGTCTTTGGTACGGAAGTTATTTTAAAAATCTAAGCAGTGGGGGCGTGGCCTGAACATGGCGGCGAGTGGACGTTAATCCACTGAGCTCTGCATACCGGGGGTGCCCATTTTCAGTAGATCTTCTCTATCCGACCCCGCTGCCACATGACGAGGACGGGTAAGCAGCCGAAGACCCCCCGTACCTTCACACGGCCGCGCTCACAGGCCCGGATGGACGCCTTCGTCTCCCCACGACTGTCGGGGGCCTAACACGCGCACCCGGACCGGGGCGCTCGAGTGTGACTCACCGGCGGGGCGGTCCCCGCGGCCCGTGATCAATGACGCGGTGCACGGGCGGGCTCCTGACACCATCTCCGAGCCGCCCTCCTCACCAGCATCCTCCATATCAGGCCATATGTCAGGGGTGCCCTCCCCACCACGAATGATGGGCTCACAGGGGCCCAGTGCGATGGCCATAGCCGACAATACAGGGCTCCATGACCTGCTAGCAGCTCTCCCTACCCGCGCAGACATGCAGGCGATGATGGCCCAATTGACTGCCACACTGCACGCAGACCTGGCGGAGGTTCGTGCGGATATATAGCAGCATGATAACCGCTTATCTGCGTTAGAGGAGTCGGATCGCTCCCTTGCAGATAGGATGGCAAGCATGGAGGCCTCTCTAAAAGAACAG